TGAAAATTATCCAAACTTAGAGAGGGTATGACCATTTGCCTAGGTATAGAAAAGATGCTCACTGGCATCATTTTATATCTCAGGAAGAAGAAGGCAAGCACTGTTCAAGCCATTCTAGATAAGTTTTTTACAAAGAAGTGAAACTCTTTAACTCTCAATATTTCTAATATTTTAAATGACAATATACTAATAAATATTAAATTTACTATTTTCTTCATTTTTCTATACAGTTATAACTGACAATAAGAGAGTTTTAAAAGATTTTGACAAAAATTTTTAAAGGTCATGGAACAATTGCAATTTTTCCCACTGGTTATTAAGGTAGTTTTGCATGGTTTCAGCTTGCCTGGTCATTTCTGTGGTCCTGCGCTGCCATGCAGAGGGAAGACTGCATGTCTGTATATCTCATGATGACTATTACCGTGCCCATTACTCAGATGAGGAAATCGAGGCTTTAGAGAGTCTAAGCTACTTGTCCAAGGTCATGCAGATAGTAAATAGTAGACTTGGATTTGAACCTATGCCGTCTGACTCCCAGACCTGTCCGCCTAACCACTATCCCATATGTGAGCACTTCAAACACAGGGACCGTATCTTTTGCTCCTTATATGCCTGGCATGTAAACATTATTTGGTAAATACATGTTGAGTGAATGAAAAAAAAAAAAAAAAACTAAGCAAGGAACCATAAACGGAATTTAACATTTACTGTTTGAAAATAATGAGAAAAAAAAATTAAGACTGCTTGAAGACTAAGTAGCAGCAATCTTATAGATGCCCATCAATTATAGGCAAAATGGACAGATCCTTAGTTGACTCATTTGATGTGAAGACCAGCCATTTCTGAGATGTTCCAAAATATATAACATGGTGAAGAGGATGATGGGTGCTTGCTAAGAAACTTCTGGTGGTGGTCATTACATCAGAACACACTTGACTAGGGTTTGGGGGGGAATAAAAAATGAAGGTGTCATATCCCGCTCCTATCATACAGCAGTTCTCTGTGTGAGGACTGTTCTATGATTTCCTCTGAGAAGGGCAAGCAGTAGCCCTTGCCCTGGCCACTGGCCCGAGGAGCCATTAGCAACTCCTAGTCAATGTAGTGGCTCTTAAACTGAGGTGGGGTCTACAGGTGGGCTTCAAGAGTCCGCAACTCCTTCAAGTTTCAGATTGATTGCCACATTGTGTTAATAAGTTTATAAACTCTTGGGTCTTAGGGATGACGGGGAAAAAAGAGAGAAAAATATTCAATTGTGTTTGGAAATTTTTGTACCAGGAGCTGGCCCCATTTTCACAGTGAGTACTGCGCCTCCTGGCACAAATTTTAAAGGCCTACAGAGTTGTCATGTGGAGGAGGAGGAGCAGAAGTAGACCTTCCTTATGCCATACCTGAAAACCAGCTGGGATCTGTGGGTTGTGACAGTGTCAGGAAATTTCTACTGAAGCCTTGAGCAAAGAGTCCAAATAATCAAACTACAGCAAAGCTCTGTTTGGAAAGCCCAAACCAGAGAATAATCAAGAAGAGTTGCAGATGTATAAAAATAGATATGGGTCAGGCAGAAATATGGAGATGAGAGCTTGTGGGCTGCAGAAGCCAGTACATTGTGTTTTGTTCTGTTCTGTTCTTTCAGCCACCACTTTTACCAAGGCAATAAAAATAACAGAGCAAGAGAGAGACAGGGTAGGTAGGGAAACCAGCTTGTGGGAGAGCAGACTCAGACTGTTGAGAGTACAGACTGCCAGCCCTAATATATTCATGGGAAGGAAAATCAGCTCAGCTGGGAGAGAAGATTCGAGCAGATGAGGAGATGGGGACGTACATCCTACTGCTGGCTTCCATGAAAGGCATTGCTTCCCAGAATAAAGGGATGCCCCTGGGCACTAGCACAGCATCTGTGATTAAGCCTTTGAAGAATACATCCTCCCATTTCAACTCAAGACCCAATCCACCAAAAGGAATAAAACCTACTTTCTAAACAGGGGTCTCAGATGACCTTCTTGGTGAAAGAGCTCCACTCTACACTTGGAAACGCTTTAACTCATATAAGGAAAACTACTGGTTCCAGGATCTTCTTTGGGCACCCTTCACTCACAGGAAGTGAGCAGGAACCTCGGTTCCAGCACATCACTTCCAGCCTTTGGAGAAGTGTTGAGTCTTGGGAGAGGGGAATGGATCACTTACCTCCATAGGTCCAAGTTCCCCTTAGAATGCATGAGCCACTCTGGACCAGCCTAGACCAACCAGTATGCTAGATGGCAGCAGGGACCAAAGGCATCTTTGGAGTCATTGTCTCAAAGATGTTTCCCTAAAGAATGCCATAATTAAAGTCTTTGAAACTCACTTGAGTCAGTGGGCACCACCAATTTGATTGGTTGGTAAAGGGTGTGCTAAGGCTAATACTACCTCCCACCTAATGGTTAAGAGAGAAGAGCCATTATGAAAAAAGCTAAGGGACTCAGATACCCGCAGGAAACAAGAGTTCATCATTTGAAATTTTAAAATATGCTAGAACTGTGTGTTAACTGCACATGTAGATCCTATCTCCTCTCAGTGAGGCCCTATGGGTGTTTCCAAAAAAATATATGTAAGAGGGGGAGAATTTAGCTTAGCAGAAATTCTCTGGAAGAATGTTCTCTCCCTGTCTCTGTCTCTGTCTCTCTGTCTGTGTCTCTCTCTCTCCCTCTCTCACACGCACACACACATACACACACGTACACACAACACAGCCTAGTCGTACAGCAACTCTACCATCCATGGGAGGCTCCTTATAATTTTTTACCCAGAGAGCAAAGGAGGGTGAGAAAGTTTTCATGCTGTGGGGTCTAGAGTATTGAGTATGAGTGTTGAAAAGGAAAAAGAAATTTTATCAAATGATATTGTGGGGTTTCTGAGATACACAAGTAAAGAGGTTACAAGTACTTTAAAAATTATTTTTGGTTGCTTCATGCTTCTTTGAATGCAGCACTTCATGAAAACTGAAGCCCATGAAGCCCATGCTTATATCTGACTTTCAGACATTTCTTCTGAAATAGTCAAAACAGTTCAAATTAAAGGCAGAGATTCCTGCACCTCTCCCACTCGGCATCTCTCCCTATTATTCCCATATCTGATATCCCTAGAACTTCCAGGCCTTTCCCGTGATTCATTTAGAGGCTCCTCTTGGTTCACTGACTTCAGTAACACTTTCCACACCCCCTTCCAATTTGCACCCTTCCTCAGAGTCTGTGCACACCAAGACTTGCACCAGAGTCTGTACATCACCAGGGTATCCGGGTGAGATACCCTCTCTGCATTTGGGAGGGCGCTAGAGAACATTCACAGAGAAAGACGGTAGAGGGGACATTGCCCACCGAATATTATCAGAATTATCTTGCCTTGTGAAAAGGGTGAGTGGGGATCACTAGGATGATAAAACTTTTAGATACCGGATGCAGAATTTTGAGTAAAGGAAATAGATAAGGACTTTTACTCATGAGTGGGGTTCCCTTAATAATATTAAACTCTGATACACTAAAAAGATAACATAGTTGACACAATAAGAATTTTGCCCCTACTTGTAATCAGTTAGAACATACTAGGAATTATCCTCAGCAACAGAGTGGATGAGAATCCTCATGATTCTAAGTTAGGGCTGCACCCTGGTCTCCTTCTTAGCCCTGGCCCCAGGACGCCTGTCTCCTTTGTGCAGAGGACCCTCTGTTGAGTATTACATTACACGGCCCTTGAAGATGGGACCACGTTTCTTCAGATTTGAATCTCTACACCTGTCACAGCACATAGTCCATAGGTGAATTTAATTAAGTGTTAGTGGGAGGAACAAATAAAACTAAGTTGCTTAACCATTGGAGAAATTGCTCAAAAGTTTTTATTATATTTTTTGATTTTATCAGTACACGTGTGAAAGCTTTGGTCAGGCTTAAGAAACTAACCCTATAGCTTTGGGTAAAAAGCATTCTGTTTGGATCTCTGGGCTTTAAATTCAAAGCATGATTTGTGGAATGCCTGGGTTTCTGTGATGAAATAAAAGGTATTTTCTTGATGATATTTTGGGTCTTCAAATTTTCAAAATTGTGTTTTATGGTTTCCCCTTGTTTTTGTTGAAAAATAAAGTGTATGTGTGTTCGGGGGCATTCGGGAAGAAACAACAGCAAACAAACAAACAAGGCACCTTGATGAAGCACTGAGCTCGGTGAAGCGTGTGTCATCCTGGTGCCAAATGACGCTGGTGAAAATTGCAGCAATTTTTGATGCACTTGCCAATGTTTGTGTTCTTTTTGCTTCAAAGATGTAACAGATTGCTCCAAAGTAAATAACTTAAGCCTAATGTTTCAAAAGAGTCCAAGCGCTTGTGTCTTTCACTTCTGGCTCCTCTTCTGGGACTAAGCTGTACCCAGCAGAAGCAACACTCATTTCTACATGACGCTCCATTTGGAGGGTCGTTTTCTTGCTTTGTTTTTCAAAGTTGAATCTATTTTTCACCGTTCTGTTCCAAATGTCATAGGTTCTATCACTGTTTAGTGCTGGAGCGATCACTCCTCTTATCTAGGAAAAAGGGAAACAAACTCCATTGCATGTAGGCTCGTGATCCTGTGGGAGGAGGGTTTGGAAGGACTGTGAAGAGAGCTCTGGGTTGGGGACCTAACCCGTGTCTCACGGGCATCCACAATTTCCATACTGATTCATATTTAGACTTCAAGCCAGGAACAATGGGTCCAATTTTGCACACAGTGTCCTCAGTGTAACTTAAAATAGCTTCAGACTTGAAGCTCAAAATGACCCCATCCTCAATCAATTATCGGACTTCTCACTGGGTTATTTGCCTTTATGGTACAATCTAAGAAAGAAAAAACATCTAGGATAAAAAAAAATCAAAAGCAAATCTTTATGCTGTTCTGTACTTCCTAAATGTGCATGAATGGATTTTATGATCAGAAAGCAAAGATAAAATATAAAAACGATCAGCACAATAAACTGACAGCTTTGTGTTCTCGTTAATGTAGGTCGCCATTGTGAGGTCCATCAGATGATCGGGAACTACATGTGGGACCCCATTACCAACAAGTCATTTGACATTGGTGTCAACAGAGACAGCCTGATGCCTCTCTGGTGGAATGGATCAGAACCTCTGTGGATCACTCTGACCAAAGCCAAAAGGAAGGTCTACATGTACTACTGGCCAGGTGAGTGTGTTGACATCCAGGCCCCTGCAACCTTCTAAACCTCAAAACACCATGGCATCTCTGAGGACAAAGGATGTAGACGTCGTGTTTGAAGACCAAGCCAGGGGTTGGAAAATGGGATCTTTGTTCTGGAAATGTGTCGCATGGGTATGTTTTTTAAAATTTTGTTTTGAACTCTCTAACATCAGACCAGACACAATGATTCCCTTGGTTCAGCAATATTGCTGCAGTATATCATGCTTTTTCATGTGCAAAATTTTGGATATAGAGGAGAGAGAAATTATAGGATGCTTATTTGCTTTACAAAGAAAGTCAGCATACCAGTTCTACAGATTTTGAGCTCCCTTACAATAGTGAAAAGAGGATTCAAAGCACTTGCAACTTTTTGGTAGTGCATTAAATGAAGTCCTTTTGTATTAATATTCCTCCTGTACATCCTAGATCACTGAGGAACTAAATGACTTTACTTACTGCAAGGAGGCCAATAATCACGCACACTGCCCTGGCTGCTGTGTGAAGTGTGAAGGCCTCAGGATACTATCATCTTGGCAGTCAAAAATCTTTCATTAAGGATGAGAGGATTCCGAGATAACAAACTAATCAACTTACCATTGTCTTCCCGTTGGTGGGCTTTGTTCTTTAGGTAGGTGGACAATTTGACTTTTCCATGCATGGCTGTAGATACTTTTTTCCTAATTCTTAATGGTGGAATAATGATGATTGGAAGAGGATTTATGGAAGAAGATTTCAGGGGAAGCCTAAAAGAAATGAAGGATAAATGGGGAGAAGCAGCTGAGGGGATCTCGTGGGCCTGGATTGGAGGGCAGCAACAGCCTGATAGAGTTCTGAGAGCACAGTGGGTTATGGGGGACGGTGGCAGGTGGGTACAGGGAGAGTGGAAAGAAGGATGAGTCAGCCAAGGCTGAATCACAGATGGCTCACACTGAGGGCGTGGGCCTTCAGCAGGAGTTTGGAGGATGGTGGTTGGAAGTGGTCACGTGGAGAGCTGCTCAGGGCATTTAAAGCTGCGCCAGCTCTTGGAGGAACATAGAACCCAGATAGATGGAGACCAGGGAAAGCAGACACACGGCTGTGCTGTGGTAAGTGCCCTGAAAGCTGCCAGAGAGCAGAGACTGGCATCCACAGGTGAGCCCATGAAGGCCAGAGCAGAGCAGGCTACATTAATTCAAAACTGGGCAGAAGGACAGACACAGATTGGCTCTGCTGGCAGATGTAGTTTCAAGAGGAGTGCTAGAGTTTCTTCAGAAGACACCTGGAATTTTGTACATAGCAGCTATCTCAGCTGACATGAGAAGCTTTCAAGCAAGGGAAGTGTTTAAGAGGACTCCATTGCCTTAAATGGAGACTCAACTTATCACGGAGTTGGACATGAGATCAAGGAAACAAGTCAGTGCCTCAGCCAAGCTAATGAGACTCACTAGAGGAGTCAAGTTCATGATTCAGCCCAGTGTGATGAGGTCTAAAGCCAAAAGATCTTGCTGCACTTTGAAGTCATTCTCAGAAATCATTATCAAAAAATGCAAGGGCCCACATGTGTAGGCATAAGAGATGGAACAGATTGGCATGCTGTCTTAGTGACCACCTGAAAACAAATCTAAGAACCACCAAGGTGAATATTGCCTGATGCCATCGGGGCCATCTTCTATGGTATCTGGTTAATTTAACTTTCAAGGTCTTAGAATTTGAGGTCTTCATGTTCTGAAGAACACCTCCCCCATAATCTCTCCCCAGCTCCCCACACATGCCTCCTTCACATATGACATATATGATCTCCTGTCGACAGCCTTTTGGATAGCCGTGGATGCCAATGCTCGTGGCAAGACGAGGGGAGATCCTACAGGGAGGCAGTTGCCATATTTCAGACTTCTCTCTGCTGTATTACACAGCATTCTCTTATCTCATCCTGGAGAATCTGGCTCCTTAATGATAATAAACAACTTGAATTTATGTATCACTGAGTATCCAAAAAAAATCTCAAGGCGAATTTGCATGTGAAATATAATATCTTGTTGCTCCTCCAAAACAGCTCTTTAAGGGCAAGAAAGGGCCAATCGCTTCCTTTGATTTACAGCTCAGCAGCTAATGTGATGTGACAAATACGCCTTAAGATCAGTTTATAGTGTTAACTATCAGGAGGGAAAAAGCTAAAAAGATAGCCTCCTAGAAGTTTCTCAGTGACCTAAGTGAAGAGTAGCTAATGATCTGGCCATGTTGAAGTCTTTATAGAAATTAGATGACAAGTCTCTTGTTTCTTAGACACTGTCCAGTCCTTCTAAACTGGATACACAAATAAAAGTGCTGTGAGAGAGAGCTTCCATTCTTACTGGTTGACAGTGGAGGGATTAATGGTCACTGCTATGCTTTCTGCTTCTCCCTTGGTTGACTCCAGCCACAGCTAATAGCCCAGTGAGTGTTCATTTGTCTCTGCAAGATTAAGTGAAGTGCAGTGGCATTTCTTCTAAACATGGCTTGATTTTATTTTTCTTCTCAAATCCTCTTCTTCCTTCTCCACTCCCCACAGGACGTTGTACAGATCTCTTGATGAGGCCTGGGAAATCTTCATTGCTCCAGTGAGCTGTGTTATGACACTTTGAGTCTCGCCATTAAGTCAATATTTAAAAGTGCAATTTAGAAATGGCAGGAGTTCAAGTCTTCCTGTCAGGTAGATAAAGCAGCAGACTGAAAAATTGATCAGTGGTGAAGAGTCCAAAATACCCCCCCTCAAGTCTTGAGAAACTTAATATTGTAAACAGACCCTTTATTACCCCACCCAATAGTGCCATTGAGCTGTGCAGGGAGAAATGCCTCAGGAAATGATCGCAGGCCCTACATCAAATATTTGTTTGAGGAGGCCCAAAGAAATGAGCCAGGAACTACATAACTAGGACCTGGTAATGTTCTGCAAAGGATAAGAGCTGAGTGTGTGTCATTTACTAATTTTATTCCCCTGCTCCATCCCTCTGGTTTGAGGTCAAAGGCATTTTATTGAGAGGGAAAAGGAAGAGGCTCCAGTATTCACTTCATGTTGAGAGTAACCCAAAGCAGAGAAGGACGCCTCAAGGAAGGAGGACATTTCGGGGAATAGTGGAGGATAAGTAAGATATTGTATGGAAATAGAGTTTGAGCTCCTTGGACAATCGGTGCTACCTTATACAGTGGCAGTGGTTTTTAAGTTTGTCCTTAAGGCTATCGTGAAATACAAAAAAGGAACAAAAAATAGCAACCTTTTAGGAGTCTGTGGTTAAAATTCTTTGGAGTGAGCGTTTGAAGACTCTAAGTTCTACATCTTTCATCATGAATCTTGCAGCGTTAATTCCCTATAACCAAGAAGTCAGGAGGACTTGGGGCGACCCTTCCTGTGGCCCTGGGATGGTGTTGGGTGTGGGTCTGGGCTCTTGTCCTGGCCTCTTCCTGTCCTGTGCAGGTGTTCAGACAAATAAGACACCTTCTACACGGAAAAGACACATTGCCCTTTGGCTTTCCTCCCCCACTTTCCAGAGGTGGGCTGGGTGGGGATTTAATGGGCGGATATCTGACTCAGCTCCTATCAAGTTTTGGTTGTTACGATCAAGGTGATTTCATGGGGATAAGTAAGGAGGCATGTATTGGCTATTGATCAAGAATTGTGGATTGTTCACAGCATCTTCCCCTTTCCTGCCATGATGGGTCCCTGACAACCTTCAGATGAGCTGAACTTAGGTGCATACACTTAGGCCCAGGGCAAATGAAGAGCCCAGCATCCATCATGCAAACGTGTGAGTTAACGTTATGGGCAAGTTCTTTGACTCTAAGTATGTGACTCCAAACATCTGGATAAAACTGAAATTTTTTTTTCAGACAAATGTTTGATATTGCATACAAGGGATCCAGATTTTCACTACATTTTCCAAGAATTGAGCATTAGACTTTAAGATGTACGTAATTTAGAACCAGAAGAGGCTTTAGTGGGTAGTTTGCTGGTTCCTACACTTGTAAATCAAGACCTCTTTAGGAAATTGATCAAAACTATGGATTCCCTTTCCAGAAAAACACATCTATACATACTACACTCACAATTTTGTGCTCATATAATACAAAAGACTACAATGATGAATATTGCCAAGTGGTCCTTGACATGGTAGCGCATATATATCTATAATATCTAATTGATTTTATTTTTTTAATGTGATGGAAATGTATTAAAAAGTCACCAAAGTATCAAATGAAACTCAAGCTCCTGTAATTAATGTTGTCTGGCAAGAGTAGGCTTGGGTCAAAATTCTCTAAGACTCTTTGGGTTGAATTCACCCAGAGTCATTTCCTTTCTTTGTCAGCAACTTTGGTAAGGCCTGAATCACTGATGTTGTCTGTGTCAGCAAGAAAAAGATACCAATTTGCGTTTCAAGTTTGAGATTGTCTCCAAGAAGAGATCTTCAAAAGCATTCTGCAGGATTTCCAGGAGTCAACCATCTCTGGGGCAGAGAAGTCAAGGAGGTGTTGCCTCTCTGGACTGCTGCCTGCCGAAGCAATTCCTCCAGCGTTAGAAAGTTTTCATAGCTGTCCAACCACAGCCAGTCTCCTTTTGCAGATCGTCTCTTGGCCAAAAGAGCTCATAGTTTCTCAGCAGCATCCATTATGGTAATTAGAAAGCCTTAAAGAGAAATCCAGAGACGAACTTCCATTCTTCACAAATCATAGCAAATCTGCTTCTTCATAAAAATCTTAAAAAGGTGTGACTCAAGGCCCTGGAATAGGCTCTCAGGAGACAACTATGAGCAAAACCAGATACAGGCTCTCCTCATTCTCCTCATCCCCTCTCCCCTGAGAACTTACCATCCAGTCAAGGAGACAGATGATATCTAATAGTTGCCCAAATAAATGTAAAAATGCACTTGTTAAAAGTATAATAATGAAAAGTATATCGAATTATGACATCATCTAATAGGGATCTAGTTTCATCTGAGAGGGTGACATGAGTTAACACCCAAGAGGAGGGTAGG